TCCTAAAGGTAAAAGGTATCTTAAATGAGTGCCTGAAAGTCCTTTTCAGAAGCACAGCTCTGTAGCTTTGCCAAGTTCTGGGTGATAATCTCACCCAGAGCTTTTAATGTAGGTAAATGATGTGTGTTTTAGGGATGAAAAGAAAATGTGTTTCTCACTTTTACACTGCTGGTGGGAGTGTAAAACCATTGTGGAAGACAGTGTGGCCATTCCTCAAGGACCTAGAAATAGAAATTCCATTTGACCCAGCAATCCCATTACTGGGTATATATCCAAAGGATTATACATCGTTCTACTATAAGGACACATGCACACGAATGTTCATTGCAGCACTGTTTACAATAGCAAAGACCTGGAACCAACCCAAATGCCCATCGATGATAGACTGGACAGGGAAGATGTGGCACATATACACCATGGAATATTATGCAGTCATCAAAAATGATGAGTTCGTGTCCTTTGTAGGGACATGGATGAACCTGGAGAACGTCATTCTCAGCAAACTGACACAAGAACAAAAAATGAAATACCGCATGTTCTCACTCATAGGTGGGTGATGAACAATGAGAACACATGGACACAGGGAGGGGAGCCCTACACACTGGGGTCTGTTGGGGGGAATGGGGGAGGGACAATGCGGGGTGGGGAGTTGGGGAGAGATAGCATGGGGAGAAATGCCAGATATAGGTGAAGGGGAGGAAGGCAGCAAATCACACTGCCACGTGTGTACCTATGCAACAATCTTGCATGTTCTTCACATGTACCCCAAAACCTAAAATGCAGTAAAAAAAAAAGAAAATGTGTTTCTACCTCTGAGGGCATTTAGTGTCCAAGTGTGCTGATATTTTTTAACATAAGCTAGATTAGTATATTAAAATAAACACAATGGCTGCGGGACTTTAGACAGAAAAGGTTGCCTGTGATGTTAAGGATCAGAGAAGTCCACAGAAAGAGGCAGCAGCATTTAAATTCAGCGGTGATTAGGTATGAGCATGTTTACTACCTGCACTGAGGATTATCTTCTTTTTAACTTTCGATTACGAAAACTTTTAGGTGTATAGAAAACCTAAAAGAACAGTACGGTGAGTATCTGTATACTCAGTTAGATTCAACAGTTGTTAACATTTTGTATAGTTGTTTCAACTCTGAATTTATAGATGTGCTTATGTGTGTATGGTGCATGTGTTGGTTTTTCTTTTTCTTTTTTTTTTTTTGAGACGGAGTTTTTGTTCTGTTGCCCAAGCTGGAATGCAACGGCACCATCTCGGCTCACTGCAACCTCTGCCTCCTGGGTTCAAGAGATTTCCCTGCTTCAGAGTAGCTGGAATTACAGGCATGCGCCACCACACCCAACTAATTTCTGTATTTTTATTAGAGATGGGGTTTCAACATGTTGGCCAGGCTGGTCTCGAACGCTTGACCTCAGGTGATCCACCCACCTCAGCCTCCCAAAGTGCTAGGATTACAGCCCAGCTGTACTTGTTGGTTTTTCAAAAAACCTTTTGGAAAGTAAGTTACAGGGATCATGACATTTTTACCCCGATACATCCACTGGCATCTCTTAACACAATTCTACTATCTCTTCTCCTACATAACCACAGTTCTATCAAAATCTGAAGAAAATTAATAAGATAACATTAATATCACCTAATTTCTATTTTCTATTTCAAACTTCCCTAATGATCTGTATCTTTTACAGCTATTTTTTTTTTCAAACCTGGATTAAAAAATTTTTTTTTTGAGACAGAGTTTCGCTCTTGTTACCCAGGCTGGAGTGCAATGGCGCGATCTCGGCTCACTGCAACCTCTGCCTCCTGGGTTCAGGCAATTCTCCTGCCTCAGCCTCCTGAGTAGCTGGGATTACAGGCACGTGCCACCGTGCCCAGCTAATTTTTTGTATTTTTAGTAGGGATGGGGTTTCACCACGTTGACCAGGATGGTCTCGATCTCTTGACCTCGTGATCCATCCGCCTCGGCCTCCCAAAGTGCTGGGATTACAGGCTTGAGCCACTGCGCCCGGCCTCAAACCGGGATTTTAATCAGGGTTGACAGACAGCATTTTGTTTTAATAATTTCCAAATCTCTTTTGCTCTATAGCAGCCTGTACTGCTTCCCCTCCTCATGCTCAATTTTTGTTTCATGACATTGACTTTTAAAAGGATCAGACCAGTTTTCTTACAACATATATTGATACCATATCTTGCAAGTATTTTTGTCAACTGAAGATTTTTAAAGTCTTTTAGAAATCAAAATATGTATTTTCTAAGAGATATATTGCCAGATTATCTGCTAGCCATGAAAGCCATTATCCCTGATACACCATTTTCAGTAGATAATGTACTTTGAAATAATCTTTATTTGCAAAAATAATAAAAGGCAGTTGTGAGATGCTAGAACAATTTAGAAATATATAAGGTTGGAATTCTATTTAACATCAAGTAGCTCTGAGATGATAATTTGGCCAAACTTACATTCTTTCCTGTTTGTGTGTTTTTGTGTTTGATAAAACTGCGATCATCTGTACACGTTATTTAAAGTTTGCTTTTTATTTCACTAGTTACACATTGCAAATGATGTTCCATGGAATATGTAGCAGAGATTGTTTTTGCTGGGATAAATGCGTACCAAACCAGCCACATTCTTTCAGAGGTGTTTGCAGTGAGACACACACCCGAATGTAAACTGCCTGGCTCAGGGTTAAAAATGTGGCTTGTGCCCACAAAGCAAATATTTTTCTGTTTGAGGCTTTCTGGTTAATGCAGGAATTGAATCTTGGCCTCTTCTGTTCTGTGCTTTAATAAGTTGAGGGGAATTCATGACTAGTAAACACCTAAGGGCTCTATATTTGAATATTTGAATTTTGGCTCCTCGCCCGCTGTTTTTCTTGAGGTGGGGGGTGGGAGGGTCATTTCATATTCTTTTCTGTACCTATCGAAAGATCAGATTGGCTTACCTTAGAGGTAAACATGATACTCTGCCAACATAAAGTGATGCAGAAACGTTAATGTATTTTACCAAGCCAGAGCTTCTAGCATATGTATTTTAAGGCATCATAAAACATATACCTGTCATGTTAAGGAATGTGCCCACGGCAAGTGTCAAAGACCTGCTCTGGAGGCTGGGGAGTGTGTTTTGCTGTGTTGTAGGGTTATACCCTGACAACCTCCGTGAGGCATGAGTACCAGCAGGGAGTGGTTTATAAATATTGAAGCCATTTTATTTATTAACTGAGAGCGCCTACAAGTAGTAGCTCTTCCTATTTGTATATCCAAGTGTCTTGGGGCTTAGGGGGTAATTCTGTGTCAGCATATGGATGAAGAGTGTAAATCCTGAGTGGATCTGCCTGAGTTAGGGAATCAAGTTAACAAAACAATCAGATGAGCAAGAGATAGTCTGTTGAGCTTAATGGAGAACAGAACATTTGGACAGAAAAGCTTTCTGGACATTTCTGGCTTCTTTGAAAGACAAGTTTAATGAGCCTCCCAGCAAGACTGCTGGCCCAGGGTGGAATGGTAAGGTTACTTTTGTTGTTGTTTTATTCTGTGTTGTCCGTAGCAATAATGTCATCATTTTCATTTGGTGGGATATCAGGATGCCAGTAAGTCTTGTCACTGTAATGGTAAGTTAAATTATCTGTCATTTGGTTACAGGACTTTTGCATCAAGCATTTTGTAAAGGAACAAGATGATCGTAGGGTGGTTCCCCACATCTGTCTAAATATTTGTTGAAAAAAGGACAAAGAGTTGTAATTTTTAAGTACTTTGAAGAATTTGTATTTTTCAATTAAAAAAAAAAAAGTAGAAGTAGCTGGCCAGGCGCTGTGGCTTACTCTTGTAATCCCAGCACTTTGGGAGGCCAAGGTGTGTGGATCACCTGAGGTCAGGAGTTCAAGACTAGCCTGGCCAATATGTTGAAACCCCATCTCTACTAAACATACAAAAAATTAGCCTGATATGGTCGCAGGTGCCTGTAATCCCAGCTGCCTGGGAAGCCGAGGCAGGAGAATCACTTGAACCCAGAGGGCGGAGGTTGCTGTGAGCAGAGATTGTGCCACCACACTCCCGTCTTGGACAACAAGGCGAGACTGTCTTAAAAAAAAGAAGGAAGTAGCTGACCATATTAAATGCATATCCCACCACTTTTTATCATTCGTTCTAAGTAAATAATAAAGTTAAAACATAAGACATGAAAATAAAAATAAATAATGTTAATAAAAGTAAAGAGACAGTGTTGCAAAGAATGAGGGGAAACAAGATCAAATTTTAAGTTCAGTGCAGCACTTACATCATTAAACCTCACTTTTTTCATCTGTAAAGTAGACACCATAGTGTTGTTCGTGAGATTGGAATGAGATAATATATTTAGAAGTTTAAAAAAACAAGATACCAGTGTTCAAGTTCTACTCCTAGTGGGTTTTAAAAACATTTTCTTTGAGACAGAATCTTACACTGTTTCCCAAGCTGGAGTACAGTGGCACGATCATGGGTAACTGCAGCCTTGACCCTCCAGCCTCCCAAGTAGCTCGGACTACAGACACACACCATCATGCCTGTTGCCCAGGCTGGTCTTGGACTCCTGGGCTTAAGTAACCATCTCACCTTAGCCTTCCAAAATGCTGGGATTACAGGTATGAGCCACCATGCCCAGTCTCCTGGCATGTTCTTGAGTGGACACTATTGCATAGTGAGAAAAGCATGCGAACCGACGTTGCATAGACACTGGTGTAAATTCTGGCTTTGCTGTTTACACCATGAATGAGTTCTCTAATCCCTTTGGACCTTCGTTTCTTCAACTATAAAGTGGCTTTTATGATATCATCCTTCTAGGATGGCATAGGGCACAGGCTCTGCCGGGGCACATAGGAGCTCCAGAGCTTGCAGCTTGTCAAATCTGGATGTTGATCAGTTGGGGGACGGGTGTGTGCTTCTCTGTGTGTGGAATACGGTACCATCGGCAGATCTCTTCCAGAGCATGACCGTGGCGTTTCTTTTCACTTGCAGCTATCTTCCAGACGGCCACACTGGGCATGGACACCCTTTTCCCTACGCAAAGGAGCACAGGTGATAGTGTAATTTTCCAGTCACGAAACTGCTAAGGCCATCTCAGGGGCGTGTGCGCCAGGATAGGAGGGCGGCACCCGAGGACCACATAGCCATGCCTTTTGGTCTGAAGCTCCGCCGGACACGGCGCTACAACGTCCTGAGCAAGAACTGCTTTGTTACACGGATTCGCCTGCTGGACAGCAATGTTATTGAGTGCACGCTGTCGGTGGAAAGCACAGGGCAAGAATGCCTGGAGGCTGTGGCCCAGAGGCTGGAGCTGCGAGAGGTAAGAGGGGCATGTGTACACACGCGTGCATGTGTGTTGGGTATGTGAAGGAGAGCTCACCAAAGGGACCAGCCATCTGTTTCTTGGCATCTGTCATGTTTTATTTTTTTTTGAGATGGACTTTCGCTCTTACCCAGGCTGGAGTGCAATGGCGCAATCTCGGCTCAACGCAGCCTCCGTCTCTTGGGTTCAGGCAATTCTCCTGCCTCAGCCTCCTGAGTAGCTGGGATTACAGGCACACGCCACCATGCCCAGCTAATTTTTTGTATTTTTAGTAGAGACGGGGTTTCACCATGTTGACCAGGATGGTCTCGATCTCTTGACCTCGTGATCCACCCGCCTCGGCCTCCCAAAGTGCTGGGATTACAGGCGTGAGCCCCGCACCTGGCCCAGCATCTGTCATGTTTTTTGACCTAAGTGGCCATGTGTTCATAAGAATCCTGTGGCCGGGCACAGTGGCTCAAGCCTGTAATCCCAGCACTTTGGGAGGCCGAGGCGGGTGGATCACGAGGTCCAGATATCGAGACCATCCTGGTCAACATGGTGACACCCCGTCTCTACTAAAAATACAAAAAATTAGCTGGGCCCGGTGGCACGTGCCTGTAATCCCAGCTACTCAGGAGGCTGAGGCAGGAGAATTGCCTGAACCCAAGGAGGCGGAGGCGGCGGTGAGCCGAGATCGCACCATTGCACTCCAGCCTGGGTAACAAGAGCGAAACTCCTTCTCCAAAATAAATAAATAGATAGATAGATAGATAGATAGATAGATAGATAGATAGATAGGTAGGTAGGTAGATAGATAGATAGATAGATAGATAGATAGATAGATAGATAGATAGATAAAAATCTGTTATTCTTAGCATGGATGTGATCTTACCTACCAGTGGTTGGGGAGACTTGTACTGATGTCAACACTGCCTAGAGCTGCATGGCATGGAAGGCTCTCTTTTATTTCAGCTGGCGAGGAGGTTTGAGGGGAGTTGAAAATGAGAGACTCTCCCCACCAGAGTAATTTTCTCTCTTTAAAACAATTGAGTGGGTAGCTGGTATTTTGGTGTTCTGGCTGCACATCAAGGAGAAAGACACCCACATACAGATGCATGCAGCTGCTTTTTTTTTGGTTGTTTCTATATTTTCCTCTTAAAAAAAATAATAAAAAGAAAAAACATTTAGAGTGAGCATGACCAGTGAGGCTTTTTGTTCCTTTTAAGAATTCTCACAGCTCTTCGCACTGTCTGTGAGATGGCTTTTAAGCAGATGCAGGGCTGACCACTTAGACGGCCATGCTGTCACTCTTTACAAGGGACTCTCAGAACAATATGCTGTTTATGACAGCCAAGCCCTTCATTTTTCAGTCGCGGAGACATTCAGGACAAGAGACTTTTGTGAGCAATCTCCACTGCAGCATCTGTGTCTTGAGAGCCTTCTGACATATTGTCCAGTGGAGAAGGTGGTACCGTTTAGTGGTTGCCAATGAGGAATGACTGCAAGCGCTGACGCTCAGACATTCCTGAGAGCAAGGAAAAGATGTGTGTCATTGTCCTAGGTCCTGGGGCTCTTGGAGAGTCCATGTGACAGCACTGCCCAGGACCTCAATGACACAAGAGGGATGGCAATCACTGTTGGAAGTGATTTCATGTGGCCTCTCTCCACCAGCTTACAAAGGAATTGGGGCTCGGGAGGGTCTTCCTCTCCCCTTGATGTCTTCCACAGGCTGGCTGTGACTGTTCTTCTCTGGGAAACTGTTTCACCCAAAATGCATCTGTTTCCTGCTGTTCTCTGTGTTTATACTGCGGTTTCAGTGAGCAGGTATTCCTCTTAGGTATGTTTCTCTGTGCAGGGGGCAGTCTTGGACAGTGGAGGTATGTATCAGTAGTAGCTTGGTAACTGCCACAATAGAATAAATGTGTGAAATATTCTCATCTTGTTGATTGGAAGCTGGCTCTCTTTTTCTCATTGGCGACACATTAGGGTGCACACATTTAAACACACACGTGCGTAAGTGCATGGGCATACAGGGAAAACTTTAATACTGTAGATTGGCTGGGCAAGAGACTTGTCTAAGTTTTTATAGAAAATTTAATTTTATACTACTTACAAATATTTGCAGTATTTTTACTTTTAAATACTTCTAGTCACTCAAATTAGAGCAAGTAATTATTCCTCATATGCATCGGGACAGTGTGGCATGTCGGTACATAGTTACAAGTATTATAGGCATTGGAGTCTTGGCCTTGGGTTCAGTTTACAGTTCTGTGATTTATTATTTGGGTGACAATGGAAAAGTTACTGAATCTTTCGGGGGATAAGTTTCTCACCTATAAAATGGGAGTAATAATGCTTACTTCATAAGGCTGTTGTAAATATTAAAAGAGTTCTGTATGGAAAATGTATAGTGCTGTGTCTAATAATTTGTAATTTTTTCAAATTTGAGAGTCTTAAACTATTTTTTAAAAACCCAACTTTTTTTGTTAAAGAAAATATTGAACAACTATCTTGTGCCAGGCATGCTTTTAGAACTTGGTGAAATGACAATAAGGTACAGTTTTACTTTCAAGACATGTACAGAGCAGTAGGGGAGGCTAGCCTTTAAATGAACAGTTAATGTTGAAGGTCATCCGAGCTAAAATAGAGTGCAGGGGTAGGCCCAAAAGACGATGGCTGTTCTTAGTGTTGTGTAGTGCGCATTCCAGCCCACTGAACACTGCAGTCTTTTTTTTTTTTTTTTAAAGACGGGGTTTCACCATGTTGGTCAGGCTGGTCTTGAACTCCTGACCTCAGGTGATCCGCCTGCCTTGGCCTCCAAAGTGCTTGGATTACAGGCGAACACTGCAGTCTTGCTGGTGAAACAAACAGAAAGAGTTGATGGAAGATGAACAAAGCCTTCAGTCTGAACCAAAACTTGAAGGGTATGTACAAGTCCAGCAGGTAGAAAAGAAGGCCGTGTCAAAAAAAAAAGAAAAAGAAAAGGGGGCCATGTCATCTGCAGTGTGGGGAACTGGATTATCAAAGATTCAAGGATCTGAAAGAGCAGCCACCATTCTTGGGGCTGAGAAGGTATCCCTCCGAATCACCGGGTCGAGCTAGAGTTTATAATGAATGGTGAGGTGTGTCTGGAGATGTGTAAGGTAATAATGGCTCTCAACAGACTATTGTTTTTCTCATCAAGAAGGCAAAAGTCAACCCTGGTTCGCCCCACAACTACCTTGTCACAAAGAATGAAGCAGTGCAGTGCCAAGTGTGTGCCATAGTGTGATTGACATTCCGTTGCTGAGGTGGGGTTTGCCTTTAGTGCTGACTTTATTTTGACATGCCCTAATGGGTGCATCCACATTTGACCAAATCACGTTCTTTATCAATTTTATGCTTTCGTTCCATGACAGGTAACATTGAAGTTGTGCCCTTTTGAGAATCAATCCTCTAGATACTCCTGAATTGAAGGATCCAACAGAGTAATCTGATACTTTGTTCTTCCTTGGCACAAACACATCTTAAGGAAGAATGCATCCTCCACCCAAAAGCGGAAGTACAAGGAGGTGAACACAGGGTCTGCTCCTTATACCTTGGATTTGTATTTGGATTAGGTTTCAAATAGAGCCGATACTGGTTTAGAGGAGAAGGTGACAACCAATCTGAGATATAACAAAAAGTTGAGTCTTTTTTGGAAGGGGTGTTGGGGCCTAACTCTGCTGCACAAGATGGAGTACAGTGGCATGATCATGGCTGGTTCAGCCTCTACATCCTAGGCTTGAGTGATCTTCCTGCCTTGGTCTCCTGAAGTGCTGGGATTACAGGTGTGAGTCACCCACCCAGCCAAAATATATTTAATCTTTTTTTTTTTTCCATTAAGGCAGGATCTTGCTCTATTGCCCAGACAGGAGTGCAGTGGTATGATCATGACTCACTACAGCCTCAGTTTCCTGGGCTCAAGTGATCCTCCCACCTCAGCCTCCCAAGTAGCTGAGACTTTAGGCACATGCCACCATACCCAGCAAATTTATACATTTTTTGTAGAGATGAGATCTCACTCTGTTTCCTAGGCTGGTCTTAAACTCCTGGGCTCAAGCAATCCTTCTGCCTTAGTCTCCCAAAGTACTAGGATTATAGGTGTGAGCCACTGTGCCCAGCTCAACATGTTTCATCTTTATGAAGACTTGGAAACTAGATTATGGTGGATATTTGGCTTTGTCATTTACAAGTAGTTTAGCTATATCATAAATTTTGTAATAGCTTTATTTTAGGAAAGTATGTATGGTAGATTAAACCTTTTTTGATTAAATTTTTTATTTACATTAATTGTTTTGCCACTAAACTTTATAATTTTTTAATAGACTTTATTTTTAAGACTTTGATTTCTTAGAGCAATTTTAGGTTTACAGTAAAATTGAGAGATACAGAGAATTTCCGTATACTCCTGGCCCCATGCATGTACATCCTCCCCACTGTCACCTTCACCCCCAGAGTGCCACATTTGTTGTGGATGTGGAGTGCCACATATGATTGTTGGACCTACATTGACACATCATTATCACCCAGAGTCCAGAGTTTACATTAGGGTTTACTTTTGGTGTTGTACAGCTGTAGGTTTGACAAATGTGACATGCTGCTCTTTAACGTGGCATTCAGAAGGACCCAGGCCGCCTTCTTATTGTCAGCAAACAGTCATTCTCTGGGAAAGCTGAATGTGATGGGGTCTCTGCTCCCAGAAACCAGACAGGGTCTTTGTTCCTAGAGAAACAAAGCAAAGGGAATAGCTGGTGCTGAGGTGCAGAAACAGGAAAGAACATGGAATTTTCAGGGAAAGGCAGAGTTCAGTTTGCACTGATCTCTCTCTCTCTCTCTCTCTCTCTCTCTCTCTCTCTCTCTCTCTCTCTCTCTCCCTCTCCCTCTCCCTCTCCCTCTCCCTCCCTCCCTCCCTCTCTCTCTGTGTGTGTGTGTGTGTGTGTGTGTGAGAGATAGAGAGAGAGAAATGGGTCATTGAAGGGAAGGAGAGTAAAGGA